TTGAAGAAAGTTAAAAAGCCGAAAAAACGACCCGAAGGAAGAAATGAAAAGGCAGTGCAAGAAGAGCGGCTGTTAAGCGCTCTTAGAAGCCACATTACTTCTAAAGCAACCGATTTTGACTTCGAAAGGACTGAGGAACAAAAGGAGCGTTTCAAAAGTTTTAAAGAAGGTTTTTATTTTGAATTATTGTTTACTTTTAACCTTTAATTTTCGTATTCTCGGTCTTGATCCCTCCACCTTAGCCTTCCAATCAAAGTAAGACACATACCAGATGGATAAAATTCGGATTAAGTATGTTTCAGAAATTTCAATATAAGTAAGCTTGATACAAATGTGCTGTCTCGTCATTCAAAGGTAGAGATACTGTATATGCTGTGGTTAAATTTTATCCTTGGTTTAAATTTTCTTTTCTTTTCTTTCAATCTCATTGTCATGCATTAACATATCCAAAAAACGAAGGAAAATAGAATTTAAACCAAGGAATAAATTGAACCACAACATATATACCAACTGTAGTCAATGTACAAGCCATGTCCTGTTGATAAACATTAACATACGTTATTACTTCCCACAGACATCGTGTCACGGTTCCCGGGGGTCAAAGCTGTAAGTGAGCTTCAAATTCGATGCGGGAAATGCCGTAGGGTGAGGATGGTGAATCGCCCCGCTTATTCAAAACATTTTGGTGATAGTAAGTACTACAATTTATGTTTTTCACTTTTTGTGGGTCCATCGGTGACATAGGTCCACACGTTCTTTATGCAGGAGTTACTCTCTACCCACAGTAAAGTCTGTAGAAGGAACGACCACTGAAACTGACAGAACACTTTACATAGATTATTGACTCGAGTTTTGTAACTTTTTCTGAAGAGTATTGGAATAAATTAACACTGGCTTATAAATGTAAACATTTCTCGCAAATAAGTTGAACCAAAGTCACAGATTGCTTTTTATATTTCTTATGAACCCTGTAAGTGTTATATGGAGTCTTGTATAGTATGCATATGCTTCGCACGTACACATAATAAAATGTCACATATAAATGTCTTTTAGGCCACTGGAAAAACTGTCAACCAGCCGTAAGAAGTGGTAACATTTCAACCATGTTTGCGTCCATCTTCTCTAACCAGCAAGCGGCATCTTCGGAAGCAAATGACGAGCTTAATGATCTTAATATGTAAGTGAAGCCAATGCTTCATTGTCTTCATGGCCGGCCAGCTATTGAGCAATCGTACAGAAATAAGGAATATTGATCAATATTGTTCTTCGAAGAGAGGCGATAATTGACTACTAATGCTATTTTCGTATTGTTTAGGCTGATTACTTATTGACAAGTAGTCTCCTTTTTTATTTGTTTAATTTAGCTTCCAATATGTTTGCTGTCAAAAATTTGAGGTTGAGTTAGAAGGTTATAACTATAACGAAAAATGAAAGTCAGCTTTGTAAATAATCGAGGAAACTGATATAATAAAAATGAAAAGTAATAAACAAGCCAGTGTTGAGATGTCTATTTTCGTTGTTCATATTATACAGGAGTGAAGTAGAGTGGGAAAACACACAAGAAACTAGCGACAGCGAAGATAGTGAGGGCAGCGAGTACACGTTTCCATGTCTGTAAGTTTTTGGCACTGTCTGGTTTAAAATCTCCTGACTTCCTTTACTTCTGTTTACGGTGTGCATCCCTAAAGCGTACATTTAAGGTGTTTTACGTCATTTGTAGTGCAGAAACCCTTCACAGTTCATGTTTTTACGCGAGTAGGCGATGGAAGGGAGTTAACGTCGGCAATAGACGGTCATAGACCGGCCGCTCACTATATTTACAGCTAAAACAACATGATGTGATATAAACTCAACATATTAACGTCTGTACTGGATAAGCATATTTCGGCAATGCACGGGAATGACAGGACACACAACAGTCATGAATACGACATTTTGCTTTTAGGGCTTTGGAAGAGCTTGATCCTGTAGTCATCATGCTGCAACAGGAAATAGAGTCAAAGAAACTCGAACGGAACCATATATTCTACAGATGTTTGAAGAATGCTCTTGAATTCGCACAGAAGTCATCAAATCCTCGTGAACAGTTTCAACATGATGGGACAATTAAGACATACATGGAAACTCTGGAATTTCACGGGAAACCAAAAACCATGAATTTATTAAGGGGACCAGGGCACAGAAACCAAGGGCGTGGTGGGACATTCCAGTTCAACTGGAAGGACTGGAACTTGCCCTTTATACCTTCAAAGACCACAAGGGATAAGAACAAGGCAGGCTACACCACCCGCAATGGAATCATTAAAAGCCTTCTGATTGCCTACCTCCTTCTTGCCCAACTTGAAGATAGTGAGGTACAACCCCTTTTACAGAGTTCCAGTCTGCTCCTGATACCTGCAGCGCTAGCTACTGATGGTATGAGCCTCAAACCTGGTTTGCAATTTGATCGGCGATTGAAAGAACTTGTTGGACTACTGTTTCCTGTAACTTTAGCCTTTGCTAAAGAAAATCCTTTGCCCGATCCAAGTTTTCTTCGTGATTCTTTCTTCGTGCCGAGGCTTAATGCTTTAGTTGTGACAGCACTTGACAATAAGCTTTCTTTACCAGTTGGGAATGACTACACCTCCAAGAAAACCAATGGGGACGCGGTAAAGAAACGAATAGAAACGCAGCGTGTGAAACAGCTCCAAATCTGCTTGCACTGCCTCCTGGGAGTTTCAACCAAACTTGCATGAATGTCATTGTTTCATCAGGGAGACGCTTGCAGTAGCTACTGTCAAGGTAGGAAATAGAGCTAGGAATCCTCATTTGACAGTTAAACGCCAAATCATATCGTGATACCTCCCATTTTAAACGCCTCTTTCTTCGGAAATTTCTTATGTAACCTGATTAATACCAAAGATCTTTAGAAAGTAGCAACCACATAACTAGAATCGATAAAAGGAAAAGTGTTCACTCAAGTGGGCAGGATCGACCTGTGTATGAAAGATTAAAAAAGCGACCTTGTTCGATCTTGTGATACATGGTGGGGGACGTGCATAATAATATCTTTAAAGAAAGTCTATGCACCTGCAAGGCTTCTAGCTATTGCCGACAAAGTTTTATACTTTCTGAAATTACTTTCTGAACATAAAATATCTTGTTTATTATTCAGATTGCGCTTCAAACAACAGTATCTGTCAAACTTGCCAAAGTAATGGCCAGAAATTTGTTGAAGAACCACTGTGAGCGTGTACTGTTGCATCAACTCCGGTATCCAATGTGTGAAATTGTTGGTCTTAGCCTGGTTGGCGGATTGCGAAGAAAACAACAAACAGGCTATGCTTAAGCTGATACAGGAAAAGACAGGTGGAACACTCCCTCCAAAACTTCACTTTCTTCTTCCAATTCCAGAGGCAACCCACGTGGCCAAATGCTTAAAGGGCAGCTTTTCCAACTGGTTCCTGAACAAAGGCGGAGAACGATTCAACCTTTCGAACCTAAGAACATTGTACAATGACCCCAACCCAGCGATGCGAGAGAAGATGAGAAGCGTTGTCACCTTGAGTGCAGTGCGAATCGAGACCGCATGTCGGTCCCCCGACCTGCTAACCATCAACAAAGAGTCGGTGCGTGTGCTTATTGGCCAGTGTGCCACGCATCACACAAACTCTCATCCCCGAACCCTACCGCTTTGTACAAAGGAAACGCGAGAGGTGTTGTCGACCATCCAACCGGTCTTTGTATAGCACCTGAAGGGAAGCTATTTGTAGCCGACAACAGCAAATCTCGGTATTCCAAGGTAGATTGCACTACCCTGTTGACGCCAGTGAAGTGGCAGTTTGATGAATCCACAAGGTCTCGCCTACCTAAACAACGCCTTTACGCCGCAGACATGGGCAATAAAAGAGTCGCATATCTTCCGCTAAGCTCCTCCGTATTTCTTAAGCCCAACAGTATGAAGGTTTCGGAGTTGAGACCAGCTCTAGAGGAAAGACAAATTCCCACGGCTGGTCTTCAAAAGAAGGATATGGTTGCTCGCCTAAAAGAGTGGATGACAAAGGCACAGCGAGAAAATAAAGTTGACTGCACCAAATTTTCTTCTCTTCCACTGAACACTGCACGTTCGACCCCACTTTCCACTCCCTTGCTGTTTGTGGCTTTGGCACTGACCTGTTGTTTATTTCGGATTTGCACACGCATCGAGTACTTTAAGTTTCTATCACCAACAACGGAGCAGTCTTGAAAGGAAGTGTCATCTCTGAGATCCTTCTTAAAGACTCTGCTTTACCATTAGGAATTTCCGTTGCAACGGGAAATCTTCTTGTGGCAGACTCAAGCTTATTTAGGAGGATTGCTACGCATTGACCTTTCGACTAATGCAGAGACAGTTTTAGTTTCAAACAAGTCGAGCAGCTGCCAGCGCATTCACGGAATCGCAGTTGATGAGAACGGAGACTTGATATTCACGGACAGAGATGCCCGAAAATTGCGCTTTGCTGTCCAACGGCACTGTGAAAGACATTGCTGGTTCGGGAGTTAATTCATCTAAAGATGGTTCATCAAGTTCTTGCTCCTTTGAACAGCCCACAGCTGTTTGTATTGAAGGGAAAACAATCCACGTTGCTGATACTGCTGTTGGACGCGTCTGCATGGTGACCCCTACTTCAGCACTTTCACTCTACCTGGGAACAAACTGATACTGTTTGTAAAACGTTCGGTATTCATTTGCCTGGAATCTCTCCGAACATTTACAGTATCTCTCAAGCCATAGCTGCCTTCCGTGACGTATCATCACTCTTAAGCACCTGGGAGAGAGAGAGAGCAGAATCTCTTTGTCGAGCATCTACCGTGCAAGGTCCCTAAGGTACACCCTCTTCAAAGAGCATTCAGAGCATCAAAGTCATACTGGAATCCCTTGGAATACTGAAGGAAAGCCTGAGCTATATCAATGCCGACTTCATTTCTCATGTGCGACTTGCATCTTTAATAACACTTGCGTGGAGCACCTTTTCAGTAAGATGCGATCGAGAAACCCTACACCGACGCTTCTTGAATATGCACAGCTCTTTGGTCCAACGATGAAAGAGAACGTCAAGCAGTTGACCAAATGCGGCTTTCATTACTTCACTGCCTCCTCATCATTCTATGAGCTCCCTGACGGTGGCAGTCTCCACTTTACTGATGTTCCAGTCATCCCGCAACTCCCGACAAAATCCATGCCCATTGACGATCAGAAGGTTCTTCGTGACTGGCGTGACAATTACGGCCAACCAGTTGCACAAGTGACCGTAAGAAATCAATCCACTAAGGACAACGTTGGAACTCTTCCACTTTACTCCTATACCAGGCCGCAGCCCATACCGCAACCACTGTCATTCTCTTTCCCCACTGAGACCTCGTCCTCAAGGCAAGGCAGCTTGCACTCCAATGTCTCCAATGCTGAATTGTTATTTTCTTCGCAAAACCGTTCTGGCTATAAAACCAGGCCTTGTCGGCCTTACTGAAAGGACACTTATTTCCACACCTTTTTATCTTGGAGTTGCAGCTGAAGATATCTACCAAGACCAGCATAGAGCTTATTTGCCAAAGATCAATATTTTTATCCCTCCGAACAAAACATCTACCTTTTGAAAGAAATGATCAAGTCGATTTACCCAAGGAAGCTGTGGGATTGGTACTTGATGCCTTGACACCAGCGGCTAGCGAAGAAATAATACTGCCAGAAGAAATTTACGAAGGAGTTGTCAGTGTTTTTAGAGAGACAAGGGATCTGTGCATTGAAGGTGATGAAAGCATAACAGATTCTGTTGCAGATGAAGCAGACTTCTCCGACGATGAGCTAAACAGTGTGGTCTGTGTTGACTCTGTGACCCTGCCAACCATCTCCACGTCTCGAGTCGGAAGAAATATCCGTCCACCGACCAGACTGGACTTGTAATTACTGCAAATATCTAGATTTGTAATTACCTTAAATATCCACTGTTGGCGCAAACTGACATTTTATTTCACTGTACATACGCACATTAACGGGTCATTAACTATTTTCTCTGATCCTTTGTTCAGACGATCAGCATGTAGTGTCTGTAGTAAGCCAGAGTTGCGCCAATGTATGACCTTATGTAATAAGTCCGTAAGACTGGGGAGAGTTGACAAATGCGAGGCTACTGAGATAGAGGTTGTTTACCATTTACAAGGGAAAATCGGTTGGTCAACAGTTTGTGTAAATGGTAAGCAAAACTCCAGAAAGGGAAATTCCGTTTTGTAAACGGGCTGAGTAACCACGCTTACGCATCAAAACTGGCGAGGGTCTGGAACTGGTAGATAAAAAAGCAAATGGTACACACATTTCCGTTAGGAAATTTCGGTTGGGAATTTTGAACTACCTTTCAAGACGTTCCGTTTATTTCGAAATTTTCCGGTTGGTCGAGCCAAAGTTGTCCATTGTCTTACCATTTACATTCTGACCGAAATTTCCGGAATTTTTGGGTAAATGGTAAACAACCAGACTCCGTGAAGCGCATCTGTGACATCTGTATGGAAGAATAGTTACAATATCGGCACTCAGTATCACAATTAGCTATCAGTGCAGCAGTTTTAATCAAGGTTAATCAAGTAAGTGTAAATATTTGTGGACATTTTTCAACGGTTCTGCATCGCAAAAATTGAAATACCGACAGCGACATTTGCCTTTCTAGCGAAAAAACGACAACGACATTTTCCCCAACGAAACAGGCGACGGCCTGCATCGAAAACAAGCGACAAAGCGACACCAGAACCCCCCTTGGAAGGCCTCTCATAACCAAACCTGTACTTACAGCTAAATACCTGTAGGGTGCGATCCTTTGAGATGATTCAGCTCAGGATCGGTGATCCCAGATCACTCGGATCATTTTTGATCAAATGAACCGATTAATCCACTTTCCACAAGGATTTATTGGTTCACTTGATCTACCATGATCCGAGTGATCTTGGGTCACCGATCCTGATCTGGATCATCCCAGAGAAAGTGCAGTCCATTTTGTTGTGTATATGCATGAGTCATCTTTGTGATAAGTCTTATTCTTCCATAAGAGGCTAGGAAATTATGGAATGTTGTGTAATCTGTGGCTAGAGCGATGGGAGTCTGATGCAATGTAAAGACGCAGAGTCGTGGGCAAGGTTTTATCATGTTGCGGTGATCAAGCAACACTGTCAAATTCTAGATCTATCAACAGTTGAACAGGATTACCCTTAATCACCTGTGTATAGTACCAAGCTACAAGTACAACACACAAGACATTGCATAACGTTAAAGCATTTAGGGCAGATGAAGGGCAAGAAAAAAGCACTTCGTTGCACCTGAAAGTGAACACTAACATGAGTTCTATTGCTGCTGAGATTTCTGGCATCTGTCCTAAGGATTTGAAAAGCAGTGAGGCAAGATATCATTCTTCCAATAACGCAATTGTGCGCATAGTAGTGATGCAACCAACAACGTCCGGAAACAATTAAGGGACAGAGAAGGTTTACTAATGCTGTGTATTCTTTCAGTGACACTTTAATATCAAATCTCAGGGTCTTAGAATTTATAGTTAAAGAAGTAAGGAACTGTAGATGTACTGGTAGACAAGGCAGAGGCAGAGAATGGGCGTGGAAGTAACAAAATTCCAATACAGAAACTTGTTGAGAATGGTATCAAAGAGGGAGGGTAACCCCGGTGCTAGGGTTACCCTAGCAAGAGGGTTCAAGGTAACTCTGGTTAAAAACAAAATTTCCCAGGAAGCCGACACAAGTCAAACGAGTCAACCAGCTTAACTGACGTGTTTCATCATGTGAAGACTAAACTGACATTCCTTGTAACGTCCAAGATTTGAAGGAAATGTTGAATTCTCCCGTGTTAAACATGTTATATGGAAAAAACGGACAGGTATTATCATTGTATAAAGAAAATACATAATATTGTTCAGATTTTTAAAATTTAGCAAGAAAACTTGGTTAACCCATTCAATTTTCATGAGTTAATGGTCTTCAGTTATCCCTTAGCAGAGCGTTCACAAGGCAGGTACATGTAGGGTAACCCTCTTGCTGGGGTTACCGCAGGGTTTGCAAGTTTTATTGATGAGTGGAGTCAGTGTGACTTCTGCTTCACAAATTTTGGAGTCATTTTGGAATATTTGGAGTCAAGTATCACAATGAAAAAAGCCAAACAAACTTTCCAGCACGTGGTCCTGGCATGTATATACACTATCGTGAGGGATACACAAAGTAGCTGTGGCGGTCCGCTGACCTGGAAAGCTCAAATCCATGATCGCCTTTGATCGTAATTTACCCTCTTCCTGTTTTGTAGTGAAGTATAATTCTTTAATTTCGATGATTTAATTTAAGGGTTACCTTCCCCCCTTGTAAACAGGCCCTAATAGAATTGGTATTTTTTAATTATCAGCGAAATAATGTGCTTGTATATCCATCCACCTTCTCAACCAAATGAGACAAAAGCCGTTTTAAATGTAGCGAAACTTCTCATTCCATTGAACTGCCATGGCAATCCGAGGAGAAGAATCTCTGCTACAAGTCGCTGACTTCCGAAATTGCTAGGTACCATTTAAGGCCGTTTGCACCATTCCAATGCGGAAAGTGACAAGAGTAAGTCTGACCGACAAATTAACTTTTTCCAGCAGCTTCTAGAGGTTAGACTGATAAACAAGTGCGTTCATGGGATCAGTTATAACCTGTGATTTAAAGAGATCGAGACAGAATTTGTGCTGAAAGTAATCAATGAACAAACTTTAAATCACGTGCTTATCCCATACCCATGTAATCAACCCAACAATCCACTCGTGGCACTTATGGTAGTAGAATGCAAATTCAGAGGGGCCAGGTGAATTTGATCCTTATCCTGAAGCAAGACATCAAGAGGGATGTCGGAAGATAACCTTGGAGACAGCAGAGAATCACATGACCACCCCCTGGCTTAAACGGATGGGTAAGCACTTTTATTCAAGCACGGGCAAACGGCGGGAGTAATAATGACTCTCTTACTGCGATCAAACAGCCTACAAGAGTGGGCCCAATCATGCTTCGAGCCTAGGAGTATTTCCTTTCAAGGCCCTGGAGTTGAATTGAGAGGGCTTCCGGCAGCTAGATCAGCTGTGGCTATACCGGCAATAGGACTGAGCGCCTCATTCTTAAGTCTTATGTCATCTGTGACTCTTGAGTGTGGGATGTGGATAGTCAATCAATTCCGTCGCTAGACCTTCACCATTAGGACCAGATGATGGTACCGAGCTACCCCATGTGACCTCTTGGAACAGTCGCTGGCTAAGTGAAAGTTCCATATTAACATCAAAAGAGCAAATATCATCTAACCTGGAGGGAAAAGTAAGAACGGATAGTGAGAGTGGCGTTATATTTGTCGCTTGCGAATAGCTTGCTCCATCGCGTCACAGTAGAAAAGCAACATGACTGAGACTCAAGGAGTCAATGATGGAATGGCCAAATGCCTCATCATCTAATCAGTGACCAAGTGTAATAAAAAAGGACTTTTACTCCGTACTTTTACTCTCGTCCTTTTGAATTGTAAAATAGCTTATTTTTAAGACGTGAGCTTGAATACTCTTTCAAATTGAAAATTAGGATGAGATAATCTAGCTGTGTAGAGTGTTTGAGACTTACATGTGGTATGTCATAATCAGACGCAGTGCTAGGTCCAATTTCCTCTCTCACTTTATTTTATTTGAACATATATTACAAGAAGTCCAACATGACTTTTTTATTTTTTGACACTTCATTTCTTAGACATGTTACAATTACATGGATACATATTTAATTGGTCTTCAGTTCTTCTCTGCTTAGTGCTGCATGTACATGTAGTATGTGTTGTTGATCAAAGTTACAGCTGAGGACAATTTTCTGCCTCGGATTATTTCTAAGTCCCTGTGTCCTAATTTTAAATGTTCGAGATCATGAATATCTAGGGAAAGGAAGCAAAGGAAATGAAGAATACAAATAAGTTGAAATAGAACATAACTGCTATCCACAACCTTAACACAATCAGGGGTGTAGTGACCATATATGCACATATGCACAGGCATACCTAAAAAATCTCTATATATTTTATTTATTTGTCTTTAATTGACTTTGAGAAATGGCATTTCTGAGGCCCTAAAAATATACATTTTCTAAGAGCATGCCCCCAGACCCCCAGAGAGGCTTGTGCCTTTAGCAGTTGCTTCACTACTTCTTACTTCTTCTTCTACGTACCTAAATGGAAAAACCATGCTACGCCTCTGTTAACATAACATTATTGTGTGTTTCCATTGTAGGGGTTATACAGTGAAAAAAGGAACAATGGCATTTCGAAAATGGCTTAGCCGGGTCAATGAGAACCGCTCAATTGTCAGTAAAGTGCCTTTAACTGCACTGACTGCTACAACAACTACTTAGACAAGACTCAAGATCATGCTGTCTCTTGAAATGAAAAGCCCAGCACTGATAATGGAGAGCCCAAACAGACATAAAAGTTATGCTGTTCAAGTTATCACCCCTGATCCTGTGCAAACATTTAAGACATTAGTTAAAGAGTTAAAGGAGCAAAAGGATTAACCGAGAGGACAATCATATATTGCAAGACAATCAAAGTCACCACCTTTTTATATTCTTTTTATGTGTCAGAACTTGGTGATGACATGTACATTGAAACTTCTGGTTACCCTACGAAGAGGAGTGTGGAATGTTTCACAGTAGAATCGATGATCTCAATAGAGATCATATTTTGGAGTCAATGTGGGAACCAAATGGCTCAGTCTGTGTCTTGATAGCCACCATTGCCTATGGTATGGGCATAAATTGCAAGAATGTCAAGACAGTTCTGCACTATAGCTATTCTTACAACCTTGAAGAAGTGGCAGGGCTGGTAGGTCAAACCATAAAATGTGCAAGTCTGTGATTCTATACTCAAGCCTTACGATAAAGCGCTGTTCTGAGGAAATCAAAGGTTTGATGTAGACCTCGAAAAAAGGCCTGCAGCTGACCCAGCGCTTCTGCAAGAAAAACTATAACTTTCAAGGGTACTGTTGTGAGTTTGTTTCGTTATGTCACAGCACATGGACATCCAAGAGGGTCCAATTGATTGTTTTTATAGAGAAGTGAGCGATGCTGAAAGGGCTAATATATGCCAAAAGTTGAACTACCTAAAGACCGCCTTGAGAGGACAATATTTGCACAGAGTAAGACTTGAGCCCAGTACATTTGCGAGACGATTCAGACTAGCATCCAATCCAAGTACTTGTAATATTGTGATAAAATTTATTACATTTCCTTAAATTAGATGCAAGATGGAAATGTGGCTTGTTATTTTTCAGATGATCCACATTTATGCTTTGAGCTAGAGGCTTTTGCTGTAGGGTAAATAGACTTGTACATAGACAATATTATCAATGGTCTGCAAAAATAAAGCCACTTTGGCCCTTAAGCAGAAATTTCTGGCTGGAACACTGAGTAGTATGTCATTTGATATTCCCTTTGTTAAAGTTGTACTTGGTTGTTTTCTCATAATCAACTTAAGATAAAGTCTATGTTAGCTTCACCCTATACTGTAGAGCCTTGAGAGTATTGTAAAAAAAATGTTCATTAAAAAGCCCATTTCCGAGTTGTCTGGCGCGTTGAGCTAGTACAGAATTTAGCACATCGGAACGAGGATAGGTGTGCATTTAGCAAATATGGCGCCCGGGGATGTGGATTTCTCCAAGTGTAAAGTAGAAAACCTGAAAAAATATGTCCGATCGTGGAATTCAGCTGAGTGATAGGGGAAAAGGGAAGAGAAGAGCTGAACTTTTGGAGCTGTGTCAAAATGCAGCGAAAATGAAGCAGCAAAAACTCGAGGAAGTCGTGGAATCTTTTGATCGGCTGTTGGAGGAAAAGCTACAGACAAACCAGGGACTACTTCCTAATCCTGATTCATTGCGTTCTTGGTCTCACAATTTTGCAAGTATACCTGAATTCACATTTGCTGACTCATATAGTTACTTCGTCAGAAAAGACGACTACTCAGTTGAGAACCTCAGGTTGTTTAAAAGCCTACATGGATACAAGCTGTTCCATGATGGACACGTGGACGATTTACAGTGCTGTCGATTGGAAAAAAAACCCTTTTCTTACTTTCAGTAAAGTGAAGCCAGCTGAACGGGCAAAAACGAGAGACGGTCAGTCAACTTATAATGGTTTTTTAATTTTGAAATCAAGAGCGGAAGTCCACGCAGCCTATTGTCCGTGTAAGGGAGGCAGCGATGGTGCTTGTAAACATGTCACTGCTGCACTGTTTGACTTGCAGTCTACGGTATCAAATAACCCAACGAACACATGCACTTTAGAGAATTGTCTCTGGAAATGTAGAAACAGAAAAAGTGACTATGCCATTTGACTAGAAGATCTCAATATTGTCAAAGCAGAGTTTGGAAAAGAAGAAAAACTTCATTTTAAACCATATCATTTTGACCCAAGATCAACCCTCACCAATTTGAGTACTTTAAAAGAAAAGTTAAGGCAAGGTCTCAAGCAGGTTGTCCTGTGCAGTAGCTCTACAGTTCTTGCCTAGCTCAAGTGGATCTGATGTTCCCGGAGCCTTAGTGGCTGAATACATTTCATGTGATGCAAATGTTGAGCATTATGAAACAGTGTATCCTATGTATATTTACACAATGAAGGAATATGCTGATGTTTTTAAAAGTGAGAACATTGGCAACGATTTCTGTTGTAATGATGAACTGGTAGGAGAGTTTATTGACGTTTTGAACCTAGACCAAACTCAATGTGACACAATTTGGACTGTACAAGAAGGAGGCAGTCAATTTTGGATTGATCAAAGAACAGGGCGGATAACTGCATCATATTTTTACAAAATTTGCCATTTGACAAGACAGGCAAGACTAATATAATTGTTGATGAATTATTGCCCCATGGAAAACATTCCAGAACCACTGGAATAGGGACAACAAAAGGAGATTTGTGCTGCAAAATCATATTTCATTAAATTGATTACAATCACTGTGCTTTATATTTGAAAGAAAGTGGACTAGCAGTTAATCCACTTTGGCCTTTTCTTGGTGCCTTACCCGACGGCATCCAGTATTGCAAGTGCCATCCTAAAACATTGGTGGAGATCAAGGGTTTGTTTTCCAAACAAAATCTACTCCCTGCAGTTGCCGCGGCTGACAAGTTGATTAAAACTACTAAAGGCTATCAATTAAAAGTAGAGAAAACATGGTATTCTCAAATACAAGGTCAAATGGCAATTACAGGTGTGAAAGGTACTGCTCTTGTTATTTATACTAACAAAGGGATTTTAACTGTCCCAGTGGAATTTGATCCTGTATTTTGGCTTAAAATTTTGAAGAAGCTCCAACTTTTCTTTGTAGAACATTTAGCACCTGGCTACTTACAGGCCGAGTGCTCAAAGATGTTAAGAATTAAGAATGAACACAGTATTAAGCCCATGGCCTATTATGTCATTTGCATGTATACAGTGATTGCTCAGTTTAACCTCTGTAAATTTGATCTGCTAGATGACACCATTGATTATAATTTGAAGTTAATAGTTTAACTTCTTTGTTCAGGGAAATTGTTTTATAGTAGACTGGTGAATTTCTGATGTCATATAACAGTTTTCTGCACACACATCCTCAACTTCAACTTGGTCAATACACACAAAAATTGTTTGCATGGTAATGCAAGGTATCAGTGAGAAATAATTTTCATTGTTACTGAAGACTGTGTCGTACTGTGCCAACTGATTTATATCTGTATTGAGCGTACTTCAACTAAAAGAGTCATGACAGCTCCAGTAAAAAACCCAATGTATCAGAAACTATGGATTAAGAACATTCAGGCTAAAATTTGCCCAATAAGCACCATACCACTTAAGCCTGGACAAAGTGAAAGAGGTTCTTATGTGCAAAAAAAATTGTATCCATGCAATAGTACTATTTAGGACTACATGTAAGTAGCACTAATTATTACTTAACAGTTGGTTTTAGGATGTTCAGTTCAGTTCTTTGACCTGTAAGGGTCAATAATTCACTAATTCAACAAAGCTCAAGCAGATGCATAATACAGTGTACAGATTATTAATTGTCAATTTCACCATGTAATTAGGAATCTGTTCAGTGCGATTTGTCAATAGACATTCATCGTTTTAATATGTGGGTTTTTACTGCATGTTGAATACTGTAAATTTATTATGCCAATGGCTCCAACAGTTTACAGAGTCCACCCCAAACAAACAGCAAGTGATTAGCTAAGGAGACAAAGGTCAAGGGTATATTTCCCTCAAATATTTTGAAATCTTTCAGGCGTTCAATTGCCCTTTCCACGTGGATTTGAACACAGGCAATCTGCCTGCTTGACTTGGTGACTGCTCTTGAAAACTGTTTGCCTGTGATTCAAAAAAGATAAAATTCTGTCATTATATTGACATTTTTCACAGTTCTCGCCTGTTACTAGTTTGTCTGGGTAAGGATCTGAAACGGTTATCTGTTGTTTAGACTGACATTAGTTAATTAACAGATACTGTCCTGGAAACCCAAAGTGAAACTATGTCTTCCACTAAAGTTAGGATCGATTAGACTAGTTATGCTTGAAAAAAAAGGGTAATTTAGTGAGGTGAAGTATTACTGGGTGGTAAGATTTTTTAAAACTCCAGTATAGAATACAATAAGAGTATTATCTAAATCTACCTTTCTTTGAAAATGGAGGGATGTTCAGGTATACTTTCTTCTTAGTAAGGATATCTCGTATGTTAAAACCTCGGTCTGCCATAACAGCATCTCCTTCCTCTAGTAAATCCACCAGGCCACTTTCTTGTGTAATTCGTATATCAGTTGTGCTATCTGCCTAAAAGTCGGAGAAAAAGCTGAAGCACCCTGAAGGTGTAATTCCCACCACAGCCTTTATTGTATGATGCTCTTCGTAGTCACTCCAGGTGGCTCTCTGTGCATAGGTGAAGTTAGTTTTTCAATAACCATTTCGGCGCTTTTTAAAACGTCTTCCATGAACAATTCCCTCTTAGTAGTGGGTTCGTCTTGCAGCTTTTGCCGCATTTCTTTTTACTCTTGATGTAACCAAATTAACTCCTCATGGTCATCTTCCCACTGTTGGGCATCTAGTAATGTAACATCGGTTTGTGTTCCAGTCGAACTTCTATTCTTCGCAAGTGTGCCCTCAGAAACATGATCACTACTTGGCGTTTTTGCGTAGGTATGATCATTGTGTATAAAAGCAATAACAGCTGCGCTTGTGTTTGCTGCACTCTGAGCGTTCGCCTTTCTCGTTGTTTTGAAATGGGACTCTTTCGGTAAAGATCGTTCTTCTGCACGTTTTTCATAGTGTTCATTTCTCAATGTTTCAGGTTTGTTGTAGATTCGAAATATTGCTGGTATGGCATAATCGTTGAGGGTACGTCTACCAAACCGTGTTTTCCAATAAGAATCATCAGTTAAGTGCTCGTTACAGATCCTTAAGTTGTTTTCCTCGTCAGCTGTTGCCTTCCATTGCTCTTCTTCGAACTTGCTATCAGCTCTACAACAGAATTTCAACCAAATAGAAAGTCGTTTATCTGAAGGAAAGCGAAAGAAAGACAGGTCTGCCTGGTTCTGATTACCGTTCCAACACAAAGCTACGGAGTAGTAAACCATATTTAGTCAGTCTAAATTTTTTTGATAAACTTGCTGAGATTCCAAATAGTATTTATATTTTGCTACGCGAGCACCTAGCCTCACTCCCATGCAAAAATTCGGTACCAGTTTTCAGGGCGCTCAGCAACTCGGAAATGGGCTATTTAATTATCAACTGAAACCGTTTGTTAAATGAAGACAACTGACCATAAGAACAGCGTTAAAGGAAAGTTAGTTTTACAGCTTGCCAGCAAGCTGTTGCTAGTATGTACTAGCCCAAGAGTCTTTAAAGTAGCCTAAACAAATTTTTGATGAGCAGTATTAATTACAGTTCTTCTGCCTTATGAACTACTCCAAAAAAAGATTGCCTTTGAGCAAGTTAAGAACAGGATTCACTAACCCGATTGCAAAATCCACTAGCCCCAGGCTATCGTACATGGCTTTCTTTGCATGCTGAAAAATGCCCCCCCCCCCCCACCAAAAACAACATTTGAGTGCCATCTATAGGGCTAGGTAATTTTTTAGTATTTTAGAAAAGATGGCTGCTTTCAGGAGATTGACAAATGGAGATTTGACTACAATATGTAATCATTTTGCATGGATTTATCATGGCCTTTTGCCAAGTCTGACATTTTTCTCATGCTCATATCTCTAAGAGAAAAGTCCCTTTGAATCTGGCAAATGGAGGTAGATTCTTGGACAGTCTGGAAGGGAACCATTGCTTCCCAGGTTGGCTGTGAATCAAATAAATTCTGTTCATGAAGTGTTTGAACGACTTTCTTGAAATCCTGCCTGACAGATTTCTTGGGAAGTTCACCTGACATCTTCTTCACTTTCAACCTAGGTCCAGATGTTCCAAAAATGCTTTGATGAGGAAAAATGCCCTACAAATTCTACAAATACTACTTTCACTGATATTAGCCCCCAGACCTCTAATCATATCTTTGATCAAATGATTGTCATGTTCCAAAGTTAGATCCATGGCAACATTACATCCTGGCTGGCCATGATTGTTAACTGTTCTGCTCCATTTGATCCTTTCTGCTTCTCTAGGAATGACCAAGGTATACATTTGAAACATATAAGCCTCCAAAACATACTTGATGCTGCCAATGCCATCTTTCTTGAAATATAACAGGAACATCTTGATGCATCTTATTATCCTTTCACCATCACCCTCTTTTAAGGCATCCATGAAATTCCGTAACAGTAAAGTGATGTTGATGAAACCACGGTGATAGTCAAAAATGTCATTTTTGGGTTTAGGATTTTGACCAGTGGGATCAGGCACAGTATTAACGAGTACTAGTTTCTTGGGAATGATGGGTGGCGGGTTATGAGACAATTCATGCCTCATTCTGTGGACTCTATCATGTTTAATGAGTTTGAACACCCTGGGAATCTACAGTGGTACCTGTCATTTGGAGGTATAGGCTGATTAGTTTGGGCTGTTTCCCTTTCCTGTAGTGCTTGAATATTATTGAAGTGATTTCCATACAGAGCTCCATCAACTACATAGGTTTGAATGAATTCTTTGACCACTCTGTAAAAAAAATATTGGCGAACCACCTTGAGTCCTGTTGCTAATTCTCGGTTGATAGTGTGCTTCGTGGGTGTGTTTTCTGTTGTTTCCTTGCCAAAGAACATATGGGCTGCAGCAATGATAGTGGCATCCAAGCCCAACTTAACAAATCTCTTACATGGAGCAGGTTTTTGTTGGGTGTCACTGACCACATTGGGCCAGTTCAATGCAAACAGCGACATCTCATTAGATGCTGAGGAACCACTTTAGTATCTAAAAAAGATAACTGGATAAAAGAAAAAGAAATGTTTTCAAGGGTGGTGACATAGGAGCACCATGTTCCTTGACCTGGACAACCGTGAAAACCAAGAGAGAATTCAGTTCTGTACTGAAAAGAATGAAGACATTCAGAAAGTGTTGTCTAGTCGTTTACCTCAAGTGAAGCTGGTTTCAAAAATCTTGTGCTGGAACACAGTAAAAACCCACATTTAAGAACCTAGAACCGACATCAAGCTGAACAGGTTCTTATATTTCAGGGTACTTTTTGACAAATCAGGGTGATTAGGTTCTTAATTTTCCAGAGTTTGTCGTAGCATAGTCATTCACAGAAATCTTACACTACTGGTACATAATGACTTGGAACTAGTTTAAATAACAAACATATGCTTGCAAAGCTCAATAATAATAGTCAGAACGGCCCCCTAGAAAGTCATAATTCCTGATTAGTACTCATTATCATTTATTATTTTGTTCAAGACATTTTTTCAAGCGGTTATCACAATTAGTTCATGTTCACCAATCAATACGTTGGGCACCTTGGAGCTCTTTAGGAATGCATAATAAACGTAAAATGTTCCTGTAAGTTACCGTGAAAGAGGATCACAATTTAGTATTCACCAACAGTTTATCAGAGTGTGCCAGGTGTCTTTTATCTTTCCTCTACGATAGCATTAACATTTGAAAACTCACACTAAAGGGATTTGCTGAGATATAACTTTGAAACATGACAATGGTCTAGATATGGATCTGACAGTTTACACCAGTTCTTGGCTTTCTTAATCAGATTTTAGGGAGACACCTCAAAGATGTAATCACAACGTACAAGAAGATGGTTACCTGTCAGGCCCTATAAGCTGAAGAAAACTGCTGAACCTGGAAATGTCTGCTTCAAAGAAAGCATGCCACAATAGAAAAGAATGACCACACTAAGTTTGCCACAATGATGGAGAAGTCCACTGGCAAGCAGCACAGCCATCAGAGACTATATGGGTTTGATGAAAAGCATGGTGCAAAGAGTTTACAATAAGATACAATTGGTTAAGCTATGTAAGGCTTACGAAATCTGGGTCATGATCAGGTCAACCTACAATAAGCAAGATCTAGCCACAGAATTGAACTTCTGAATAACAATAACAGTCTAACTCTTGTGCCCCACCCACATTATCTGTACAATCTGAGTGCTCATGCATAAACATGAGAAACCTAAAGGTGCCTTAAAACACAAATTTTTGCATTTTACAGATTTTATGTCATCTGGTCACATAGTATTTTATCCATTTCACTCTTTAAAGGTCCATTAAAAGAGGCAAACGCTTGATCATTTAACACTAAAGCTTTGTGATCAAACTTTAGCTTGAACAGTAAAACTGGTTTTTTAGGGGTAATTTTGGATGACCATCTGTCATAACAAAAACGCACATTGCGTACTTAGCTTCTACAGTTTCCAGGCCTTTAGGTGTTATCTCCAAGTCAAGCTTTTACCTTTACAAACCTCCTTTTAATACATACACTCAATCTCTCCCTTGTCTACCCCTAATTGCAATGTTGTGCAACTGTCAGGGGATCGACCCATCATACTTGCACTGCTCCAAAAACGAGCTATGACAATCATCACATCTTTTTATGATGCTCATACAGACCCAATATTTAAGAATATTTGTATTTTACCGCTTAATGATATGTATCTAACAGAAATAGGTAAAATAGTGTTTCAATATAAAACTGTGTTGTTACCAGATATATTTAATAACACTTTTATACGAAGGAATCAGGTTCATAGTCATGATACCAGGAATGCCAGAAACACTTTTACCGGCAAAACCAATAAAATCAGTAAAAGGTCAAGTTCAGCGTACAGGGTTGAGCTCTCGCCATGTGAGGATTTTCTTCTTTATGCTCCTTAATAATGTTGTTGATTGTGTTAATCTTGTGACTTTTTCTGTTTTTCCAGGAGCAAGGAGAGTTAATTCAAACTCTGTTTCTCCTCGCCAATGTTCCAATCCCAAAGGCCATAATTATCATGATTTTGTTGCAGGGCCTCTTACGAAGTATGTATTTGTAATCCCGCCATCTGAAGAGCAGGAAAAGAAAAAAGCATAGGTGCCGAACTGCCTGCCAAAAGAAAGGTATTGCCTGGGCCACCCTCCACACATAAAAGATTAAGGAAGAAGGAGAACAATGAAAACAGCAACACGAAAGGGAAGCCTAAGAAAGGAAAAAGTAAGCGGTCACATCACCAAGAGGAGCAGTGTCCAGTCTGCCAAAAAAAAATGTATGACATCCACAGGCATCTGGAAAAACATGCCCAGAATGATCACATTGCAAGTGTTGAAAAAAAGAAGGGGAGGAGATGTGCATTACGCCACATCAGTCAACAGGATCAAGAAAGGGCCTAAAGTACAAGTAGTGCACTTAAGAGGGCTGTCAAGTGGTCACTCACTTGATAAGGTGCACGAGTTAGATAGGGGATCTTGCTAGACACCTACACAACTGTGGCCAAAGAATACCGCAGAGTGTCTGAAACTGATGATCTTAAGTCCATAATTGTGAATCCTTCAGAAGAAGTTTATGATGGGCCTTTCACGTTAACAGCAACCCGTCCATCCATAACAAGTACATCAGAAAGTGCAGACAACAATCTGGTTGTACCTCTTTCACCCACATGCAATGTACCATCAGGAAGAACGTCAAGAAGACGAGTTTGCCTCACAAGAAGATCATTTCACCTGTCCAACACCAGCAACCAATAGAGACCTTTAGCATCAGGTAAACCGCAAACCGCAAACCACAAATTGCAGTTACGCATTTGCAGTTTCGTGTTGCTGAGATTTCAAACTTTAGCAAGGCATTCAGTTCAGTTCAGGTCATTTTTATTTAGCCAAAATATAATACAATACAAGAATACATATAGGAATTGTAACGTTGCAAGGGAGCCCAGAAGAAACCAGGAGGCTTTATGAAGCCTGGGCTCCCCAGACTCAATTAAGAAATAAGCAAAATAAAATGAAATTCGCGGGGGTGATATGTTGAAAAAAGGAACTAAACAGAGACTGAGTTAAGTTATGAATTCAGTAACAAGACAGAAAAAAAAAATTAACTTTGGATTGGAACAGAATACTTTCCTTTGTTAGTACGGCAGAAAGGAATATAAAATTGATTTGAACTACGTGTTAATTGTTTAGGGCCGCCACGTTGTTTTCATCAAGTCGAAGTGCATCACTTTAATCGCCCAAAACTCAGCAATAATTCATTGGTTCGAGATCAAAAATCCAACAAACACATCGCAAACGGATATAAAAAGCTAGTTCATACCTTTAAATGCGAGGCTGTACAATTTTTTGTGGCAAAAAACCTTGCCGTAAATCACTTCCCGCTGGAAGCCCTTCCTGCGGTTCAAACGTGAACTGCAAACTGCAAACGTGACCGCAAGGCCGTGGTCACGTGACATTTTGTAGTTTGCGTTTTGCAGTTTCCCATGAAAAACGTGATGCTAAAGGTCCCTAATAGTCAGAAATGGCTTGCAGCCTTATACAGCCACCTCAGCCTCCCTGATTCTAGCTGTAAAAGGATAAAAAAAAAGAAAACATTGGGAGACAGCTTTGCAGCTAGCTGCTCCTTTCCTATGGAATAGGCTGCCAAGGTGAGCGCGAAGCAACGAACTTAGAATCTTTTAAGACTTTACTTAAGACATTTTTATTTAAGGAATCATTTCAGTTATCTTCTTTCAGTATCTCTATATGTTTATTTGTAATTACCTTTTACTCCTTTAATGTAAATATTTTTTTAATGATTTTGATAGAAAGATTTGTAAAATTTAGTTATTTATTACTATTGTGTTGCGCTTTTGAATATTTTATAGAAAAGGCGCAATACAAATAATAAATGTTATTGTTATTGTGTTGTTATTAATTTCGTCTGTATTTTCTTATGAATTATTAATGAGTTTGAGAAATCTATGTGAAAACAAAACCTTCACAGGGAGAAAAATTGCAAAACAGCTTCCTGAACTTTGGAGGAAAACAAGTATTTTCCAGACTTATGCATAACCGTCACTAACATTAGGACTGGATTGGATTGTTACTGTCTGTTACCAGGAGAACTGTGATGGCGCTCATCGAAGAAACTGTTGTACAAAGATCCTGGTGACAATGAACCAAGGTGGTGGCTTGGTGAGACCCTCTGAAAGGCTTTTGATAGCACCTATCAAGTCTCAGAGCAACACTCTCACTGTCCAACGGATACTTGAGGGGGGAACCAGAAAACCAATTGATCATCCCTTTGTTATTACATGAAAAGTGACAACACTTGCCAAATACACCCCAGAAGAGGACGTAGTCATCATAGTCACAGTCGCAGTCATCATAAAGTCAGTGGCAACATATTATGGTGTCAGGCAGAAAAGCTTCAGGTAACTAAATAATGCAACGTTTGTATTCTTTCTAAGTTGTTCTGATCAATTAAAATGTCTTATGGAAGATTGCATTAGGCCGCATCTGGCACTCCATGAGGTCTCCATACTTAAAAGTATTGGTTCCACGTTGGCAGAGACAGTGTGAAATAATGCCCCGGACGATCTGGCGAGAGATTTCCCTAGTCCCAACCTTTGAGAAGAAGAGGAGGTGGTAGTGGAAAGCACCGCTGATGATGATGATGATAAGGAGGTGTATGAAAGCACCCAAGATGGTCAGAAGGAGGAGGAAGAAGAAGACAAAGAAAGAACTGGGGAAGGGGAGGAGGTGAAGAGTACTGATGAACAGGGAAAGGAAGTGATAGAAATAACTGAAGAGAAGGAAGACGAGGTGGTGAAAAGCATTGACAGAGGATGTGGAGGTGAAAGGTATTAAACAACAAGATGTAAACGAGGATGAAGAGGTAAAAAGCCGAAGCAATAATGAAGACATACAATTTCCACTTAAATGCTCACCATCTGAAATCGATGAAGATTGAAAAGTTAATTAAATAAGCTGCTTTAATACTGTTAATTGATATAAATAAACTGTTAACATTTGTCATATGCGAATTGTTTGTTCTTTTTCTTTCAAAATCTCAACATTTTCAGTCCAATTTGACCAATCACAAACCTGTATTCTATGCAATAAAAGGAAGAGCCACCATCAATAGACTCAAATAATTTCAAAGGCCTTCAAACCAATCTAAAACATTGCCAGAAACCACTGCCAGGTCCAGTTTGACCATACACAAAGTTAAAAGAAGTTTTTAATTTTGACCCCAAGTTTAATTTGCATCTTTTTTTGCCCTGTCTATAACCTTTAAGCGGATAAGTCATTTCAATTCATTGACTGCAAAAATGCATGAGGAAGAAGTGGATGGTGAAGACATAAATGATGA